CCTGCAGGCTGCACCGCAGTGGCCCCGGGTTGGCCCGTGTCCGCCGGCGGCGGCAACACGGCGTCACCAGCGGCTTCGTTTCCATGGCTGGTCCGCGTTGGAAGGCTTCCCGTCGGCGACGGCGAAGCTCCGTGGGCGTCAGCCGGCTCTGTAAGCTGCGCCGCGGTACATCCAGCTCGGTCCGTGTCCGCCTGCGGCGGTGACACGCCGGGGGCTGCCTCCATGGTCTGCGCCGGCCAGCCTCCCGCCGGCGGCGGGCAGGCTCCGCGCGCGCCAGCCGGCTCGGTGGGCTGCGCCGCGGTACGACCGGCTCCTCGGCCCGTGTCTGCCGGCGGCACCGACACGGCGGCGCCGGTGGCTACCGATGGGCCTCCCGCCGGCGGCGGCGAGGCTCCGTGCACCCGGTCCGTGCTCCAAGTTGGGATGCCTCCCGCCGGCGGCGGCGAGGCTCCGTAGGCGTCCGTAGCTCCGTCCGGCTCTGTGGGCTGCGCTGCAGTACTCCCGATGCGGCCCGTGTCCACCTGCGGCGGCAACACGGCGGTGCCGGCGGCTACCGTTACTGGCGCCACCACCGGCGAGTCGCGTACTCTCGTCACTGCAGATGTCGCCACTGGACGATCGGCCGTGACGCTGGCCCTCTGGTGGCACACAACCTCAAAATGTCCCCGTTCCCCACACGCACGACAGATGGCGCCAGCGGCGCGACACGTGTCTCCGCCGGCGTGCTGGCGACGGCCGCAGGTAGGGCAACGCTCAAGAAACTGACGATCCCGATCTGTAGCGGTGGCGGAATGGGCGACACTCGGCCGCCTGCGCCTCTTGTAGGCCGGCAGGCGCGCCGCGTAATGTCCCTCGTTGCCGCGGAGGTCTGGGCACGTGACACGGGCACCATCGCTCGCCCGACAAACGTTCACGGCGTATTTGAGCGTCAGCTCAGAGTCCTCCAGCCTGCGGCTCACCGCTCCTGAACCACTGTCGCGCACACTGCACTCGGCACGGTCGCCGCACGTCGATGCCGACTTCGGTTGCGGGGTCGGGGTCGCCGACACCAGCAGGCAGACAGTCCGGCGGGCGGCGGCAGCTGGTCCAACGGATCCATCAGCGCCTCGCTCAGCCCCCGACTCTGACACTCCGGTCGCCGTGCCCGTCCCGGTCCCCGCGGAGGGCTCTCTGTACAGCAGCCTCTCCAAACGCTCCAGGCGCTTGTCGGCCTCGGCGGCTCTCTCCGTCTGCCTCTCCAGCAGCGCCGTCAGTTCTTGAATCAAAAATTTCTTCATCGCGCTGTAAAAGCTGCTCAGTCACGTAATTACAAAACCGTCCGCGCCATGTTATGTTTTGGTTCGTTTGAGTGAAAGAGCACACAATCAATGAAAAACGCGATTTATTTACTGCGATACGTTCAGGCCGAAAGAGTGTCCAAAAAGATAACAAGTATCGCGAGCGCCGCGCCTAGTCGCCCGCGCCAGTAATGCCGCTCGGCGCGCCCAGTCAGCTGGCGGCGGCAGAGGCGCTCACAGGCACGCAACCGGGGCGGCCAGCGGTGGCGGCGTCAGGGGCGCGCGCAGGCGCGGCCAGCAGCCGTGCGGGGGTTGGACCATAACACAACACTTCAGTGCTTCACCCACAGAAGCACGGGTATAGTAGTAGGATGTGGGGTTAGGTGTCTGTCCAGTGTCCACCTCTTCCTTGTAGGTACAACGTAATACAGCGCCTGGTCCACACGCCGAGCTTAACTAAAAACGTCTTCAAACCCCACCAGAAACCGATGGTAAGGTGAATTTAAATCCAATAACTCATCTCTGTCTGCCCGCCTAAATATACTACACATGGTACGGCACCCGGCCCTGACGCAGCTTTGAGCCGATCGTGACATTTTCGGCTTTCCCGGCCCAAGCTCGATTAGAAACGTTCTCCTTCCCCAGCCGATTGCTGATGTCAATTAAAATTCAATACCTCATCTCTGTCTGCCCGCCCATAACCCATTCATTGCACACCGTTCAGCGCCCGGTCCCGCCAGAAGTATCCTAGCGCGCTGAGCAGTTGCCTCCAGCCGCGTCATCCCGAGGCCCCGCGCGGCTCATAACTGAATACATTGCGCGAATAGCCGTGTCGCCCCCCTGGTTCAAATGGTTGCTAAATTCGAATTCAGCTCGAAAAACTCGCCTAGAAACATGTAAAACTCGAAAAAGTAAACCAAGGTCATTAAAAGTAAGTGACCTGACCTGACCTTCCGGTGACCTTGACACCCACCCTTGACCCTAATGCATGGGAGCAACATCAAATCCCATGTTTGAACGCTTGAAACCACGAAGAGACTGCAAACGTGCGGATAATGCGAGCCGACATACTGAATCGCGATTCCGGCCAAACATGGTCTCGAAAAGTAGGTCACAGGTCAAAGGTCTAAAGGTCAGGGTCATTAAATTTTCAGGGTAGGTGTAAAATTAATTATCACGAAGGTACTGAAAGTTTCGTCTTGATCGGCCGCTTTCTACGCGAGTTGTTTGCGAAAATCGGGGGGGGGGGGGGTTCCGTTCGACGCCCCCCCCCTATACAAGCAAGGGTTATGGGGGTGCAATAAGATATGTTTGTAAATGCAATGCACGCCTATGTTTTTGGATGGAAATTGAGGGTGCAGCTGCTCACCATGCATCCCTCTTCCACCGCCCCTGGTTTCTTGCCACAAACGTGTTCTACCGCTCCCGAGTGAAAGAATGTATGTATGTACCTACGTTAACCCGCGCCGTGCTGGGGGCGGGTTAACCCTCAAAAACCCTCAGGTTTTTCGCGAATATCTCAAAAACGGCGGCGCGCAGCGCCGCCGTTTTTGGTACACGTGTTCCTACATCATTTCCGCACATGTTGTGAAAATTTCAGACCTAGGCCGTTCAAGGTCAGGTCACCAGGTCACGTCAAGTGACCTTACCTCAGAAAAAGTTCAAAGGCTCGCTATAGCTACACCGACTGAACGATCACTTTGAAACTTTCAGCGATTGATATGAGTAACAGTATGTATAAAATGTATATCTCGGATTTTTGATATCTGTGACCTAAGGTCAGGTCAATTTTGCGACCTCTCCATTATAAGTCAATGGGAGAAAATTGAAATGCGCCTCTTTTGGACGAATATCGTTCAAAACGCTCTCAAACATCGGTTCATAGGTAAACATGACACACTGAATAGGAAAAATGCACCTGTGACCCCTCTGTGTGCCCCTGAGGTCATCTCAGGTCATGAACGGTCGCCAGCAGTTTTTTGGCTATAACTTTTGATAGAGACGTGCTAGAGCGGTGAAAACACGTCAGATGTGTTCAGCTCGACGATACGGATCGACTGATATGCAACATGACCCTTTTCGGTCAGGTCATGACCTTGACCTGAGGTCAAATTTTCAAAATGACCTTTCAAGGTCAACAAATAGTTCATTCGACGCGTCTCGACGAGAGGAACACGATGCTGGCAAAAGTAATGTCATGGCGCTTATGAGTCAAAAGTTATTGACGAAAAAACGTTTTTCGTAAAAACGGCTATTTTTGGAGTTTTTGCCCTCTAGAGGCTAAACCGTTGACCTGAGGTCAAATCTGAGAACATTACTCAGAAAGGTCTGTAAAAGGGCTATCGAATGCGCTTTTCCGCGGCGCTGTAGCTCTATCGGTTCCCGAGATAGCCGTTGGCAGTTTCCAAAATGTTGAAATAGTCAACATTTTACCTTTGGTGACCTCTGGTGACCTGACCTTTGACCTGACCCAAAAAATGACCGAAGTGTTTTCGTCCTTATTTTTGACGCTCTTTCGATTGCCGCTTACCGCGTGTCGCTACGTGGCCCAGGAGCCGAGTTAGACGGGGGGGCGTGAAAACGCCCCCCCAGCACTCGGCGGAAAGTTCAGGCCACCAGCACGGCGCGGGTTAATATTGATATATTCTCATTTTGTGGAGGTTGGGCAAAATCTGACCACTACTGGGGCATTCCTTGACGCTACTGGGGCATTTGCCCCAGTAGTTAACATGTTAGCCGAGGAGGCCCTGTAATCATTCCTCATTGGAACAACTGCTCACTAATTGTAACAATGCCTGCATTTCCGTGCTGGCCGCCTTCGATCGTGGCGCCACCTATACTCTGTATAACCGCCGCGCCAGGGCCGCGGCCAGTCAGTCTCGTCAGTCTGCTCAGACTCGTCGTCAGCGAGCTATCTATGTAGTCAGTCATTACCGGGGTTACATGAGCAAGTAAATGCGTATCAGGAACGGATTTTCCTATTCGCTCACCATTGTAGTCCGTTTGTAATGCGTATTAACTCTGCTCATGTAACCCCGAGCAGTGTCAGTTGTCGATCAGGCGTGCGTTCGACATCCGGAAAATGAGGGATAATTATCCGGGATCACCGGTAATAATTTGGTATTGCAAGGACTATCGATGCAATAAGTCATATTTTTATATTGCTTTTGCTTCAGTAATGGCTCTTTTACTCATTGGCATGTGCTTTGTGCACGGTGTCAGCCTAAAACACCGAATGATCCCGTTGATCCCGGAAAATTATCCCTGATTTTCCGGATGCCGAATTCGCACTAATACTCAATACGTTTGTTCGGAAATTTGCTGCTTGTGACAATGCAACTTTCGCTAGTACCTCAACTTTTAAATCACCTCGTGACGTTACACTAATATTCCACGCATATGCCACAAGCATGGACACTATCGAAGGGCGTGCATTGAACCCCTTCCCCCTCTCACCACAATACGAGACGAGTAATATACTAGTACACGATTAACGATGAAACTTGCTAGTTGAGGCTGATCAGTTCGTCCATTTGCCGTCTCCCCTGTTCATTTGCATATACCAGCATTACATGTGTGATCTGCGGTATATCACCTCTGACATTGAGGCGCCAGAGGCGCTCCGGCAGCTGCCCCCTCAGTCGCGGGAGGTCGGCGGCGGTGACTGATAGGTCCTGCAGCCCACGGCACCTGGTGAGGGGCTCCAGGCTGCCGGTCGTGTGATCAGTACAATCTGGAAAACACGCAGACACACATACAGACAGGATCAGTTAGCTGTAATAAATGTCGATATATGACAACACGAAAAAAAACACCTAATAATTCACATGGTTTTATGGACACAGTAGACAATGGTAAAACAGTGCTATTATATGATATATGCAATGTTAAGCAAATGCATTGAACTTCATTGAACAGTGCAACACAATTGTTATGAGTATGATCAACTAACTCTGAACGAATATGTAACTGAGTAAACAGTCCTCCATTTTTCAGCTCAATTGACTTCATTATTTCGCAAACCACATTGGCTATGTATCACACCTGTCTCCATGAGGTCCGACACCGGCACACCGTTACTCGGTGTCCGCGACCGCCATTCGCTGATCTCTTATATCAGCGGCATGTCCGTGCTGCCGCTGCTCACCGTATATCTCCAGTCGGTTGACCCTCCGTCCCAGGTCAGCCAGGTGACTGATGGTGTCGGCAGCCACCCCCTGGAGCGACACTGACAGACCATCCGACGGGCACCGTTCCGGCCACCTCGGCTTCGTCACCTCCGGCCCTGTCGGACAGAGCTGTGTCAGCTGACTGCAGTCGGACAGAGCTGCCGCCAGCTCCCCGCTGCACCACTGACACCAGAGTGTCACACACTGACACAGCCAGCACTAGCACAGCCGAGCGGCTGCACAGCGATATTTTTACCAACAGCATACATACGTAAATATTCAAATATGAGCAACATAAGTATTACGATTTTTGCAAGGCACATTGGCTTAGGCACTGGGCAGCCAGTCATGGTATAGTAACGGATCAGGTTGGTAGACTACATAAATATATGGTTCGCAGTGCTTGCAATCTAACCATTTCAAATTACAATAATTGCTACAATAATATTTCATGCATGCACTTGATGCTCACACTATATGCAAATGCATGCATTGTATCACTCTAACAATACCATATAACACAAACAAGGCTGTAAGATGTTGGCTGAATTTGATCGGTTCGTCCATTTGCCGTCTCCCTGTCCATTTGTATATCTATATGCATTGTCCATTATACCGACATTACATGTATGATCCGTGGTATCTCACCTCTGACATTGAGGCGCCTGAGGCACTCCGGCAGCTGCTCCCTCAGTCGCGGGAGGTCGGCGGCGGAGACTGACAGCCGCTCCACACTCTCCCGTGAGCTCCGCAGCTGCGTCAGCTCGCTGTCACCGACTCCGGCCGGAAGGATGACAGTGTCTGGCTCCACCCTGATGATGGCACCACGAAGTTGACTTGGAATAGTAGTAATTTGTGCTGGGAAGGTGATTGAACCAATGTCAGGCATTTGTCTAGCTCAATTATAGTACACTTACCTACAGGTGTAGAAAACACAAAGTGAAAACTGTTTGTGGCTACAATGCTGTGATAATTCCGTGTCTGAGTGAATATGTACTTTATCAAAACGATGTGAATTTCATAAATTACGGCGACTTTCCATAACAGAATATTCAACAAATAAAATGATAATGGGTTTTTGACATATAAAATAAAAATCGCAATTAAATTAGTAGATTATATTCCGAAATAAGACATATTTTCATGATGTCAATTGATCAATCTGACAGCTTTTGAATCCTTTTCACTTAAGTATTTTGTTCAGCTATTATGTGTAGCTAATTATTTCAACTTTGTATCGTTATAAATTTTGTAGCGTAAATATTACGTCCATGGCAGGCCCAAATTATTGACCAGCACCATTCACCACACGACTTGTCATTCTACGGCTTCCCAAATACCATGGCTTATGGCTTCCGTCTTACCTGGATGAGGGAGGCAGCATTACCTACAGTACATGTAATATCACGGGCGTAGGAACGTCATGAAAAGTGGGTGGGCCACCCTGTCAAGGGGCCTCCTTTTCCAGGGGGCCTCCTATTTTCAGGGGCCTCCAACTTTTGCCTCGTCCTGCTGGCTGCTTTCAAGTATGACCTCCAAATCTAGCTTCTGAGATCGGGCAGATGTACCTACCCATGGGCGTAACCGCTTAAGCGAACAGTGCGGAAAGTCCGCACCATTTTTAAAACTTATTCCTCCTCCGATTTTTTTTAGAATCTATTTGCCGCAAACGGCGCATGACCCCTGAAAACCCTTAAGGCCGCCGTCCACTGTGCGGAATGCTTGCGGTCCGTACGGAATTTAGGTGGGCGCATCCGGTCCGTACGGAAATCGTGTGCGGACCGCATCCATGTTGTGTGGACACATATCGCTGATACCTAATTGGCGTAATTATATTCAGTCCCGACTCGAAAGTCACGTTATGCAAGTCGCGCGTGACCTCCCTCGAGCTAAATTCGAAATCGGGTTATCAATCGACATCCGAAGTGGCTGTCGCGGCTTGGTCGCGGCTGTCGCAGAGACGAAGTACCAAAGTACGGCGTGTTGAACTTTGTGCGGAGAACGCAGACGGAATGGATGCGGACATGGCCCGTCGCCCGTCTTCGAGTTTTCAATTGAAAATTTAAGATTGAATTTCAACTCTTTCAAGACAAAGTAAATTAATATTATTTCCTTGGCATGGCACCATCTTGTGATGCTAGGCAATGGCCATATTTTCTTTTTGTAACAACTGATATCGAATGTGCGTGAGCTCTCCGTTTGCTGTCCGGATGCGGAGACATTCCTGACCGACTCCGGACGGAGACCGCATGCGCCCATAGGGCTCTCTCTGTGTTAAATTCCGTACGGACCGCTAGCGCTCCGCATAGTGGACGGCGGCCCGCTTTACACAAATGTCTTCCTCGTTTCCCAGGTGCCCCCATTAGCTTCATAGGCGCCCTCTTTGGCATATAAGCGCCCTATGTATAGTCATTAGAGACATCCCTGTATGTCCCACAGTCGCCCGTTGTCGCATACAATGTGCGCTTAGCATAGGCGTCTCTCTTTTATGGACACTTGAAGGCGCCTCTCTTTGCCATGCCTCTCCCCTGTTTCTTATGAATGCACCCCCATGGCATTGATCAATTGCAGTCGCAGACCTCTATTGCATGTGGATGCCCATATATGTAGGCCTCAGAGGCGCCCCTCTTTCGCATTGAGGCGCTCCTATGGGCTTCATAGGCGCCCCTCTATTGCACGTAGGTGCCCTACTGTCTCAGAACCGCTCCTCTTTGGCATGCAGACGCCCATCTTTCGTATGGAGGAGCCGTTGTGGTTCTTAGAGACGGCATGGTGCTCCCAGACGCAGATGGGGCTCTCGGAGTCGACAGTGTGGGACCTTCAGTCGCTGATGGGTGCCCGCCAGATGTGAACCCTCGGAGACGCCGGTATGGGGTCCTCAGAGATGCCGGTATGTGGCTCTTAGAGACACCGGTGTGGAACCCTCAGATACTTCAGTGTGAAGCCCTTACAATTGCTGGTGTGGAGCTATGAATGCGCTGGCTTAAATCCCTCAGAGGCCGGTACATGGACATTAGAGCTCAGTGAGAGCTTGTGTGGTGCCTTCAGTGGCCCTGTGGAGCCGTTAGACATCAACATGGTGCTCTCAGGAGCCGGTGAGTCGTCAGAGTCATCGGTGTGGGGCCTTCAGAGCTCCGGCCTCCGAGATACTGGTGTGGGGCCCTGAAAGATGTCGGTGTGGGTCCTTCAGATGTATACCTATAGAGCCTTGAGATGCACAGGTGTGGTGGCCCACAGAGGCGCCGGTGTGGGGCCCCCAGAGCCACCGATATAGGGCCCTAAGAGACTATATATAGTTTGAATAGAAGGGCCTCTCAGACCATCAGTCTCATGGGCCTCCTCTGGCTAGTATGAATAGAAGGGCCTGTTAGACCATCAATCCTAGGGGCCTCCTCTGGTTAGTATAAATAGAAGAGCCTCTCAGGCCATTAATCTCAGGGGGCTCCTGTGGACAGTATAAATAAAAGGGCCTCTCAGACCATCAGTCTCGGGGGCCTCCCTAGAAAAGTGTAAATGTGGATAGAGGGCCCCCCTCAGATTCATTAGGAGTGGACCTCTCTGACTATCAGTCTCAGGGGCCTCTTGTGGCCAGTATGAATATAAGAGCCTCTCAGACCATCGGTCTCAGGGGCCTCTTCTGACTAGTATGGATAGAGGGCCCTCCAAGACCACCGGTTTCAGGGGCCTCCAGTGGCCAGTTATATGAACAGAAGGGCCTCACAGCCATCAGCCTCGGGGGCCTCTTCTGATTGGTGTGAATATGAGGGCCTCTCATACCATCAGTCTCAGGGGCCTCCTCTGCCTAGTGTGAATATAAGGGCTTCCCAGGCCATCAGTCTCAGGGGACTCTTCTGACTGGTGCCGGATTGAGGGACCTCCCAGACCGAAAGTTTTGGGGGTCTCCTGTGGCCAGTATGAATAGAAGGACCTCTCAGTCCATCAGTCTCATGGGCCTCTTCTGCCTGGTGTGATCATAAGGGCCTCTCAGGTCATCAGTCTCAGGGGCCTCCTCTGACTACAGTGTAGATGGATAGGCATCCCAGACCATCAGTCTCAGGGGCCTCTTCTGACTATTGAGGATAGAGGGGCCTCCTATGACTAGTGAGGGTAGGGGGCCTCAACTAGACCGCCAGTGTCAGGGGCCTATTCTGACTAGTGTGGATGGAGGGGTCTCCCAGACCACTAGTCTCAGACCTCTGACTAGTGTGGATAGAGGGGCCTCCCAGACCGCCAGTGTCAGGGGCCTCCCCAGACCAGTGTGGATATTGGGGCCTCCTCAGATCCACTAGGGCCTCTCAGGCCATCAGTCTCAGGGGCTTCGACTGACAAGTATGAACAGAGGGCCTCCTTGGATCCATCACAGCCCCTTGGAGTCCGTGCGTGGGGATTCGTGGAACTTATTTTTACCGAGTTTGTTTATTCTGGAAGGTGACGACGTCCTCTCAAATCGAGACGAGGGGCCTCGAGTAAAAAGTGGGTGGGCCAAAACACATGGTTGGCCCCCCCACCTCGAAAAGTGGGTGGGCACTTGCCCACCTGGCCCCCCCTGTTCCTACGCCTATGTGTAATATGTGTTGTATCCAGTTATTCCTGGTTTGATTTAGGCTTCAGAGTGTCGGGGATAAACTGCTTCCCCACGTTATTTATAAGCATTTGCTAGAAAAAAATAGACAGTACCTTAGAGCAAAAATCACAAGCAAGGAACGGTGCCGCCGGCCAGTTTTCCTGTTCTTCGTGTCCCTGTGTCGCCCCTGGCCCCTGCCCCGTTCAGGAGCGCCCGGCAGCGCCACCTGCACCTGACCAGTCCCGGCAGCGTTTGGGGTCGCCGCCGGCCGCGCACCGCTGACAATCAGCTGACGCGGCCGGCGGCGCGTCTCAAGGTCACTCTGGAGGTCAGCCGGGCCGCGGCCCGCCGGGGTGGCCGTGACGTCACAGCCAGCGAGCGCTGAGTGCCGGAACACCCACTGTTGGTTTATCACCTCATAACCACTCATGTATGAATACCTTCCACCGCCACTCACCATCTGTGACTAGTAGCGTAATCCGTGACCCCAGCTCCGTGGCCAGGTGGCTGATGGTGTCGGCAGCCACCCCCTGGAGAGATATCGACAGACCACTCCCGTACCGTCCCGGCCACCGCGGCTCCGTCACCTCCGGTCCTGTCGGACAGAGCTGTGTCAGCTGACTGCAGTCAGACAGAGCTGCCGCCAGCTCCCCGCTGCACCACTGACACCAGAGTGTCAGACACTGACACAGCCAGCACAGACATAGCCGAGCGGCCGCACAGCGATATTTAGCACCAGCAGTGATATGCAAACATGTGAATATCTTTCTAGCAGTTTACTTGCCATTGGGTCTACAGTGCAGTGATATAGAGGATTATTTATTGCTGGATAAGGGCCAATGGGTCTGTTCCAGTCGCGCTTCCTAACACCTCTAACCTCCTCTAAGCTCCTCCAAGATCACTTCACCGTTCCAGTGGCAGCACTAACCGGTTCCAAGTCAGCAAAAGTACACACCTTCCCTCATCCATCCTCCTCCAGCCCGCTCCCAGCCCAAAGGTGGGTCAGGATGGAAGAGATCAGATGAGCACACTTATGGCGCATGTGTGACATAAGAAAAGTCGCAAATGCGTAGGCGAGGTGTCGTGAAAATAAAGAAAACTTACTTATAGAATTGCATAATTTCAACATATTATGTCTTAACCCGGCTGTTAGCGATCAATTCGTGTATTTCACCTCCCCTCTTTTTGCGTGTGCTTTCGCTGTCAACTTGTTTTCTCTACGACGGCTGTTGCGGTCGGCCACCGCCCACTCGGCGTTGCGTCACGTGAAAGGCGGCGGCCCGGCTCCAGCCATGCGTTTTTGCTCACATCGACCCAGTGTTTTTAATCCCGGCCCAGTGACAGGGCCGGCAGTGTTGTTCGAACGCTCCTGCAAGGCGGGCACCGACAGCGGCCGCACCGACCCGTCAGCGGCCGCAGCTCACCTTGCAGCGATTCTTCTCGTCTTACCTCCATATTTCCACGTCGCAAATACACCTTAGTCTATCTCTGGTGTTGGTCCTCCGGAGTAACAAGAAAGCACGAACAAACTGGTCCTCCGGGCCGGATATGAAGAAACTGGTGGAAGTCCTAAAAGTGACGTCAGTGACTAACAGTGGCAATATGGCGGACAAGAGAGAAGACGATCAGCGTGGCCGCCACAACTCTCTCGTCACGAGGAGTGAGGCGGGGGCAAGCTCGGGCGTGACAAGACTGAGCGAAGCCCGAAAGAAGACGGAGCTTGCTAAGCTCCGTGCAGCTCAGGCAAAGAGAGCTGCAGAAGCCCAAGCTCAGCTCGCTATCCAGCAAGCTGAGCTCGAACTCCAAGCCGCGGTGGACGAGGAAGAGCTTCTGGAACTAGAAGCGGAGCTGGAGGAGCTGGAGAAAGAGGAAGAACTGAGCACACAGAAAAGCACATAGAACAGAAAGGAATCCGAGCACGCAAAGAGGTCAGAGTTCAATCATCAGAATCGACCGACGCCGACCGCACCGCCAGTCCAGGCGGCCCCGTCCCGTGCCAGTGACAGAACACGGAACTGGATTGCTTCTCTTCCGGTGTGCCAGCCTCACGATTGCGACATCAGTGCTCCTCAGCAGCGGCCGCTCAGCTCTCCTCCGAAACTTCGGCTCGACAGGTACGATGGCTCACCGACTGAGTGGCCACGATGGATAGCGCTGTTCAAAGCGCTCATTCACGATCCACCTGACCTAACTGACGTCGAACGTCTCGCCCACCTACAGTCGAGTCTGACCGGCGCAGCCAAGCAGGCTCTGCGTGGCATGCTCTGTGACGGACGGCTGTACGGTGAAGCGATCCGCGAGCTGGAGAGGCTGTTTGGAGACCCTCGTCACGTCACGCAGGCGACTCTGGCGGCTGTGTTCAACACCCCAGCCGTCAGGGAAAACGACATAAATGGCTTGGCCAAATTGTCAGGTGCTCTACACTGTGCTGTGAGCGTGCTTCACTGCTCCGATTACACCGCAGACCTGGCGGCAAGCAGCAACTTGTCCAACGTTGTTGCAAAGCTGCCAAAATCTGTAGCCTGGCGGTGGGGTGAACACACAGTGCGAATGAGACCAACCGTGCCGACACGTCCCGACCTAGATTCGTGGCTACGTGACTACGTCGACGCTGGGCGAGCCTGTCAGCACACCACCGATCTGCTTGCGACAGCAGAAGCGATTCGACCAACAGAGCAGAAACCACCTCGAAGAACGCGACACAACGTACTGACTGCCGGACAAAGGTGTAGTGAGTCGACTTCAAACTCCACTACCTGCGTGTTCTGTGAGCAGCCCCATAGTGTGTCCCTCTGCTCGAAATTTACAGATCTTCCGGTACAAGAACGCGCGAAGCTAGCAGTTAGACACGGTCTTTGTTTCAACTGTCTAACTCCGAACCACCGAAGTAGAGAGTGTGAGTTACCTGGACAGTGTTCCTCGAACAACTGCAAAAAAAAAAACACCACACTCTTCTGCACAACGCCGGTCGTATCTTCGACCGACGCACAGTGTGGCCAAACACCAGTTTAGCGCGAATTTAATCCCAGCGCTGCTCAGATCCGTTGAAAATGGTCCCCTGGTTTCAAAATTGACACTTAAACCTATGTGAGACCTTTTACGATGCATTATAAATGCTTGCTGACATTTTATGGCATAGTTCCGCCTCTAAGAGTAAGGAGAACTAGCTTACGACGGGTGATGTGCTTACCAGGGCTGTGATGTCGATGGAGTTACTCCGACTCCGACTACAGCTTTCAAAATTCAATTTCAACTCTGACTCCGGGCAAAATTGTCGACATATGCGATCGACTCGGACTCTGACTCCGCAGTCATGGCAAGTCCACGCAGCAGGGCTGCGGAGTCGGAGTCGGAGTCAGAGTCGGAGTCGGTCGGAGTCGACAGTTGTGACCGGAGTCGGAGTCGGAATCGGAGTCGATTTTAGAAACCCGAGCCGGAGTCGGAGTCGGAGTCATCGAAAATCTGTCGACTCCGCAGCCCTGCTAGGTCTGCGGAGTCGGAGTCGGGAGTTGGAGTCGGTCGGAGTCGACAATTCTGCCCGGAGTCGGAGTCGGAGTCGGAGCTGGTTTTTTAAAGCCGGAGTCGGAGTCGGAGTCGGAGTCGCCGAAAATCCATCGACTCCGCAGCCCTGCCACGCAGTCGATGGATTTTCGGTGACTCAGACTACGAGTCTTGGTCCGGATTCCAAAATCGATTCCGATTCCGACTCTGGCTGGGGTCAGAACTGTTGACTCCGAACGACTCCGACTCTGATTACGAAATCCCGGAATGTAACCGCAAATAAGAGGCATAAAATTATGGGTCCAAGCAATGATATGCATGTTAGGAGGAGGAATCGTTAACGAAATTCCCATCATTTCTCTGGTAAATTCTTATGATTGTCCAAAGTTTGCTTGAAAAAAAAATCAACATCTAATTATGTTTCTGTGTAAATGTTCCTGGTGAAGCACATGAATCGGTAGACAGTTGCTGAAATACACGCACCGATAGGACTGAACCTAAGCAATGAGAATAAAAACAAAGACTTACACCATAAGCACCTTCATGTCATTAACCCTCGCCAGTATTGGTGTTTTGCTAGCCGCGAACGTAGGTCGGGTCAGGTCAGGTCAGGCCAACCAGTAGGCTTCCTGCCGGGTATTCATAACTAATAGGTGTCAACCGCCAGTGACAGCTTCGTTGCATGTTACGAAGGCACCAAAACTTCTTCCTAAATGTTCAAATGATTACTAAATTCGAAATCAGCTCTAAAAACTAGCCTGGAAGCATGTAAAACTAAAAAAGGTGAACCGAGGTCATCAAAGGTCATTGAACTGACCTGACCTTCAAGTGATCTTGACACTGACCATAATGCATGGGACCAACATCATAATATCAAATGTTTAGACGCTTGAAACCACGAAAAGACTGCAAACGCGCAGCTAATGCAAGCAAACATACGCCCAATCGCGATTCCGGCCAAACATGGTCTCGAAAAATAGGTCACAGGTCAAAGGTCATTGGAGTCAGGGTCGCGAAATTTAAAGGGTAGGTGTAAAATTGGTAAACTCGAGGGCACTGAAAGTTTCGTCGTGATCGGCCGCTTTTTATATGCGCTTTTTGCGAGAAACCGAGAGGGGTCCTTTCGACCCCCACCCTCACCCCCTATATGGGCGAGGGTTAAAAAAAGCCAAGATTTAGTCATTGGCGACCGTATTTGCAATATAACAAGTCAGAAATACAGCGTTTGAGCCATCCACGTAACGTTACGGAGCCGCCGCCGCGCCCACCCTGTAGCCGGACCTCCCCGGGCGGGCCAACCCGATACGTTCAAAGCTGAGCCAAAGGCCGGGGGGCAGGTTGGGGCAGGGTTTCTTGAATGGATCATGTCCAGAAAAGTGTGGCAAATCTTCTCATGGTAGATTTGGCGTGGAGTTTTTTGGCCATTTTCTTATATCTCTACGTTTTTAAGATGGACAGTGTTTTCAGGGGATGTCTGAAAAGGTCATTTTCAAATAAGCATAACTCATCGGTTTGTCCAAGGATACCTATAGAATTCGGGTATACTATCAAATATAGGCTCAGTAGTCATATGCCACTCCAATTATTTCCAAACATTTCCGACAATTACGCCGAAATGTGTTGTAAACGTGACGCGGGTTTTCGACGATTTCAGCACAGCCGGGACCGGCATTGCGTATGTCCACTTTAGCTAGCGTTTTGGACACCGAAAGGAAGACATTGAACCAAAGTATTGTGATATTGACATACCTTGGACAATTTCCTATCGACTGATAGGTATAAAAAGTCAAAATTCCAAAATTCGTTTTTTGATTATTCGCGCTAATCTGGCGTTTGGCCACACTGTGCGACGGCCCACCGAGGAACCATCAGCCGGACGAGACGGTGGCGCACACATCGGGACAGCTACTGCCAAGCAGAAGACCAGTGTGCTGCTACAGGTTTTACCGGTGATCGTCCACGGGCCGGCGGGCAGCAAGCGGACCCATGCGCTGCTAGATCTCGGCAGCCAGGTATCGCTTGTCACCGAACAGATCGCGAAAAGCGTCGGATTATCAGGCCCAGCCGAGAGTCTGTGTGTGAGCACCGTGAGCGGAACGAAGAATGTGCAGTCGCGACGTGTTGACTTTCAACTACAGTCGACAACATCAGACAGTAAGCACGCCGTCTCCGGAGCTCGTACGACGCCCTCGCTAAATGTCAGCGGCCATAAAATCAACTGGCCAACGGAGAAGCTGACATGGCCCCATCTCGCCGATCTGCCGCTGACAGCGGCGACAAACGAACGTGTGGACATTCTGCTGGGAGCTGATGTGTTCCCGCTGATTGTCCCAAGAGAGATAAGGGAAGGTCCAGCCGGTACGCCCTGCGCTGTGCGCACAAATCTTGGCTGGACCGCAACCAGCCATGTCCCGCGCTCAATCCACGATGCTAAGGGGCTCGGTGTAAATGCTATCATCAGCCCGTCCGACAGCGACAGTCACTTGCACGACCAGGTGAAGCAGCTATGGTCGACGGAGTCTTTTGGCGCAAAATACACCGAGACCCCAAGAAAATCGAAGGCCGACGAACGAGCTCTCTCCCTGCTGAGCAAAACTACGAAACGGGCTGGCGAGCGATATGAAACGGGACTGCTATGGAAAAGCGATAACATCCAGCTTCCAGACAGCCGTACAACCGCTCAGAACCGGCTACGATCCACGGAAAGCAAACTCAGCAAAGATCCAAAGCTATGTCAGGCCTACCGAAGAACAATCAACGAATACATCGAAGAAGGTCACGCTCGAAAACTCAGCGACGATGAGCTACGGGCAACGCATGACAGGGAGTGGTACTTACCACACCATGCAGTGACAAACCCAAGAAAACCCGATAAGATCCGTGTGGTCTTCGATGCAGCAGCTGTCTCGTTCGGCACATCGCTGAACGACAATCTGCTAGTTGGTCCTGACAAC